TTAGAGGCAAGTACTTACCACGGAGAGAGATTCATCAATTAGACTAGGGCCATGATATTCCTTCATATAAGCATCGATAGGTGAAGGTGTACATGCTAAGACAAATAGGGACAGGGAGGAAATAATCAGAATCCTCCTTTAAACCCACCTCATATGGTGTTATTCAAGGTTTAATTGGAACTGAAAATATTCTTGCTGCGAGGTAAGGAGTTCTCCCCGTCTTTTGTTACCTGAAAGTTAAAGTCAAGCTTGTTGAGATCATGTGCTGATAAAGCCTGCGGAAATCCTGGTACAGTAAATTCGCTGGATACCTCCAAACAAGCAAGCAAAGCAATCGACATTGTTGGCACTGTTCACCTTCACTCTATCACTTAGATGTACTGACAGTCTAGTATGTGCGTCAGAAGCATTTCAAATTTACCTTCATACCAATTTTGCTCAAATTCCCGCATTCAGGGTTCATTTCAATTACTTTATTCATCTTCCCTGAGCATTCTGTTCAAAATTTTAATTTACCTCTGTTAGAACAAGTTAGAATTCTTGATTGCTTCCTGCTTGAACAAAGAAACAGCAATTGCGTAAGGTTTAGAGTTTAGGATTTAGTACTTACAACTGAATTACTTTGAATTTGGTAATTTGTATTGCTGATTGAGGCACAACTTTCTTAAGTAAAATTTTAGAGACAGTCTTTAATCCATGCCTGGTAACTCAAGCCTATCTAGCAAAAACATTTCAAACTTCTTGTTCCTTTCCAAACTTGATTCAACCATGACAATCTTTAAAGTCTTTCAATGTTTTTTTGCTTCCCCTTTACATGGCATGCAGCCTCTCCAAGGATGTCCTTGTAGATCACCTGCAGCTTGTGAGTAAGTCTGTACCTGTGTTAAAAGTCAGTTACATGTACTGAAGAAAAGTTGTGGACCAGCTTGGGCAGACAGATCAGCCACATTTCAACTGCAGACACACATTCATGGTTGTAGCAATTGCTCCATGGTGAATCTGGGCTAAGCTTGGATATTTTGAGTGTACATGCCCCATCAAAATGGGCATGAAATCCGTCCTGAGTATTGACAGATTGAACCCAGTGCTTTGTGAACTCATGTGAGATGCCTAAAGATGGGACAACATGCAACTATATTTATTAGTGGTAACATATACTCAGCAGAATATTGATGACCTGGATGATTTTGGTTAACTCCCACACCAAAGAGAATCTGCTCTAATATGTGGTTGTCATGCATGGTCAACTAAAATCAAACAATGCCATGTACACTTCATTGGTAAAAACCTTTCCACACTGCTGTTGAATAAGTGAATGGAGAATGCTGTAAAGGCTGTACAGGAAGAAAGTACTTATTGTGACTTCGCAACCATTTTGAAATGGTAACTTTTGGGTATTTGTTATAAGACTGTAAAACATGCACAAAATCTGCGTGGTTGAGTGGACATTTATGTATGCAGACAACAATTCTATGTTGTAGCCAAACCTGTGTTACAAGCCAAGTGGGACACGTTGTACACATTGCACTTCAGGTAGTATGGTCAACTGCTACATTCATTAGATGCAAACACAATAAATGTGTTGAAGTGGTACAATGTAGGTTTCACAAGCATGATCCACCTACCCTGTCTGAAACAATCATTGCCATTAAGACCATTGATCAACTAAGAATGTGAACTGAGCCTAGAATCATACATGGTTTTTCAAAGGTTTTGGGAATGATAGTCATGCATTGGAGTTGGTGATTTCTTAGTGAAGGTAGCCAATCCATTCTTGACCACCCCTCATTTCTGCCTTACAGGGTGGTGTATTTCCAATCAACTTAATATGATAATAGTTTTGACACCTTATGGTTTCATGTCACTTAATTCACATTTTGCTTCAACTCTGATGCGCCATTGGGTAATTCCATGCCAACTCAAAAAAATTGTTGGGAAATCAAACATTCTCAATTTTGGAATCAACCACTAGTGAGAATTAGGTTGGCTCAAATCTTAGATTTGTGTCAAATACAATCTTGAACTAAACAAATAATAGTAATTTTGTTTTTAGGCAAAATGATGTGAAAACATCTAATATCCTCTTAATTTCTATTTCCCTATATTGGGACTTTTTTTGATTTTTCACACATGTACTGCAAATATGCTAAAATGCTTAAGTTGCCGAAAATGGGTCAGCTATCTTAATGTTCTTATTCTAATATTGAGAACACCAATAATTTTTTAAAAAACTATATATATATATATATATATATATATAAATCAAAAACATCAAAATTTGTACTAAGCAGTGACACAATAAAATGATTTTCATTGTTACGGATTAAAGATCTTTAATGCGTAACAATGGCATTAAATGATTCTAAAGGTAACATTGTTCTGAATATAAATATAATGCATTCAATACATTATCTATTTTTTCAAAATCATTTCATTTGTAACATGTAAATATATTAATTGAATACAGACTTTTGGAGGTTATATTTGTTTTTACATATTACAAAGACATTGAGTTACAAATAAAAACAAAAAATCACATAGCTGAATTCCATATATTCTAATTCAAGTTAAATGAATAAGCACATAAACATAGTACATGCTTAAATTATAAAATTAATATAAGTATTATTTTATATTTTTAAAACATATTATAAAGAAATTTCTTAATAATTTCCCACGTAAAAAAATTAATAATTAAATTTTTATTCTATGTTTTCTCTTGTATTATTTTAATATATATACATATATGTTATTCAAAGAAATTTATTTTAACATAATTTGTATCTATTTTTAAATGAAATTAAACTATGATCTTTAAAATATTATAATTAAAAATCCAAGTTTAATTAAGTAAAATATATTGTAGTATTAAGCATAAAAACAAAAATATAAAACATAATTAGTCTAAGTCTTTTCATTGATTTTATCATAGGATATTTATTAGGATTGTTGTATTTAAATACAAGATTATTTACATTTTTATAGTGTTTCTATTTAATTATTTTTTCACATAAAAATATGTGCATAATTATATATATATATATATATATATATATATATACTACTATAATTTATATAGTTCATTTTCCAAATAAAAAATAATTTATTTGTACCACCAATATAAAGTGTTTGTCAACCATACATGCAATAAAAGCAACCATATGGCTGTATAATTAATTCAAACATTTTAAGTTTTTAAAAAATAATATTTTGGATTTTTTCAATACTAAGTGTAATATTTTCTTTTTTTCTTTTTTTTCCTTTTTCTGTTAAATTTTACATTCTATGCTTGTATTATACAAAATAAAACTCAATATGAGTTTTAATGTGAGAGTATTGAAAAATGGATACATTGATTTGATATTTTGTAAGATTTGAGACACGCTGGTAGATATTTGGCTTAAAGGACTAATTTTTGAGAAAGAAAGAAAGAAAGAAAGAAAGAACGTAAAAAATAACAAAAAATAAAAAATAGGGAGAGAAGAAGATGAGGAAAACTGAACTGAAAAATAAAAAATTAAGTCTATTATGTTATCATGTAGGAACATCAAAAACAATTTTACACACTTATGCAATTCCTATTAAAAATTATAAAATTATTTATGTAAACATTTTATATTGTGTTATGATTAAAATTTGAAGCTCTTAAATCGGCAAGTAATTAAATGGTTGCAGCAATCTACTAACAAGATAATTACCATATAATTTAACAAGACATGTGTCTACATGTCAATTAAACCTTACTAATTGTATTACTTCTTTGCCTCTATTTATTAAAAACTCCATGTTGTAAGTCTAAAAACTTGTATTACAAAAATATAAAGTAGTTAATTTAACTCTTACTTGGTTAATTTGAGCGTTTTTATATGTTTCAAAATACATCAAATGTGTATACATTGTTACATGATTTCAATTTTAATTGAATATAGCATGCAAATATATGTTTTATATAAATTAAGATAAGAAGAGAATATTGTGTAATTTTAATTTAAAATAAAAAATACTGTATTTATATATATATATATCAACATAAAAATTATATGTTGCTTTTGGAATATTTAAATAATAATACTTTTAAAAATGAACAAAATTGTAATTTTTTTATTCTTGTTGCTTATATTTAAAAATGAATAAATAAAACTTATTAATAACAAAATAATGGCTGATGCAAGATTTTATTTTATTTTATTGATTCATTCTATATATTTTCAAAGATGCAAATTATCTAATTTATTTATGCAAGACATTGCTACAATTTATGTAGTATAAAATATACATTCTTTTAATCAAAACAGAGTAAAAATGTCATCTTTTATCATTTTTTTTCCATTGGTTTTTTTATAAATAAAGATATAAATGATAACACAAGGGTGTCCAAATAACAATTAATGTCAAGTTCAAACTATATATCTTTGTACAATCTTTTGAACATGTGAATCCTTACACTTTTGATGGACACACAAAACATCCAAATCAATTGACATCAAATTCAAACCATGCATCTTGGTACATTAAGTCACACATCCAAACTTTTACAATCTCAGCACATGCATTAAACACACAAATCAATCCATGTCAAATCCAAACTCTGTATCCATGTACATTGCATCATGCATCCTATCCCTTACAATTTTGACACATGCAGGAAGTGCCTACAAACCAAATGATAAAACAAAGTAAAATACAAATAAACCCACATTTCCATCAATTAAAAACCTTTTCTACTAACATCTGCACACAGAAAATAATTTACTTTTCCTTCAAAAACAATGACAAAAACTACAGAAGGGCCAATGTAGCCACACTCAAAACAACAAGATTTATGGAATCAGATTGGAAAAAAAAATAAACAAACAAACAAACAAACAGTGAAGATGAAATTGGGCAGGAAAGGGGATGATGTTTCTCAAGAGAGGAGAAAATAAAAAAATAAAAAATTGAAGTATAAATATAACCAACCTGGTGCTATTATGGTGAAGCGCTCGGATGCTTCCAGCGGGGCCCCTTCACCGGGTGTAGCCTGCTGGTGGGCACCGGTGCCCGCAGGGGACCAGGGCAGGGCGATCGATGATGCCGCCTGCCCCGCGCAACGCCGACGCCATGATATGCTTCCAAACAGCCGGAATCTCTACGGCGAAGCACTTCGGAGATCGTTGTGATGGAACAGTAACGAATCCAACAAGACGGATAAAAGGAAGAAGGAGACGAAGAAGCAGAAGAAGCAAAGGAGGAAGAAGACGACGATCTAGAAGTAGTAGAGGAAGCTTGTAATCTGGTGCTTTTCGCGGAGGAGACGCTGGGAAGAAGGGCGACTATGGTGGGGAGAAAGCTGGATGCGTCGATCCCGCGAAACCCCAAATTTAGAGAAATCCAGCGATTTAGTTGACTTGAGAAAAGGTGAAGAAGGAGAGGGGTGAAGTGTAGGAACTGGGGCCATGATTTACGACGGAATCATGGATGGGGTGAGATCCGAGGGAGGTGAGATACATTAACCTCGCTAAAGGGTCGGAGGGAGGCAGAGAGGGAGGGAGTGAGTGAGGAGGGTGAGGTGATTGATGCCTCGTGATGCCGCCGTGGGCGGTGATGTGGGAGGGAGGTGGGTTCAACGAGGTTTTTTCTAGACAGACACAGCCAGAAATGAATGAGAGGAGGTATGCGGAGCAGCAGGGGGATGATGGAGACGAGGGAGGAGGAGGCGGCATCGAGAAGGGGAAGAAAACAGTCAGACATTGTATCCCGAGGAAGCTGTGCAGCGGTGGCATGTGAGGGAGGTACACCTTCGCTCGCATTGGCACCATGAACCCCTTGCTTCCCATGCTCCTCCCCAAGCTGTTGTGTGCGTTGGGTGTTGCCGAAGAAGAAGCCGGCTTGCTGCTTCTGGTGTGCGTCTCGCATAGCTATGGTCGAACAGCAGCAAAGGGTGATAGGTTGTGGTGGGATGTGATGCTCAAGGCTGAGAGGGCGGGATTACGGTGTGGGTTTCTTTAACCACTCACCACTCCCCCAGGATAGGCGCACAAAGGTTATGAAACGGAGCGCGGGGGGGATCGCTCCGTTCCAAGGGTGTCATCCGCTGGGCGCTGCTGGGTGCTGCTTGGCCTTCGTCCTTCTGTTCTCGCTGCTTTGCTCCGGTAATGGATCGCCATCCTTATGACTCATTGTGTGAGGGATTGGCTGTTGCTGCAGAATTGGTCGAATTGCAGCGAGTTTTATTTTTATATTTATTTTTTGCTGTGAATGTGATCTCAAGTCCGCAGGTAACAGAGCTTTCGCTAGTGGACGATTTGTTGGTTTGAATGCCGTCTTACAAAAAATCGTTACAAACATGTCATTTGCAAGTTTCACACTTGTAGGGTTTATGTGATGATTGGTATTTCTCGTTGTTCAAAAGAATGAAATTTTTGGTCGATGATTGGTGATCACGCTACTTTTCTCGGTGAATCGTCAATGTGCTAATGCAGTAAAGAGGTTTGGAGCATCATGTCGAGGGCTTGTGAGTCAAAGATACTTTTCACTGTGGATAATTTTTCTTAACACTTTTTTTCACATTTTTCTAAGTACCTCATTCCTAATGAGGGCTCATTGCACTGTAATCGTGATTGACGCATAAAGGGCTTTGGGTATTGGACTGATCGAATCTCGCTGTTGCGTGTGATATGGAGTTCGTTGAATTTGCAACGTGGGTGCCTATTTAATGTTTGGATCGCACTAGTGTTACAAAAGCATTTTCTGATACTATATTTTGGTGGTTTGCAGTTTGCTATGCTAACCAGCCCGTAAGGTCATTGTTACCATACGAGGATCGGAAGAATGTGACTCTGACAGCAGATAATGTTTGCTTGAAGGATATCGTCGAGGAAAAGCAAACTGTGTATTACAACCTCGATAGTTCAGAGTGTTTTAAGGACCCCTTCTTTGGTTACAAATACTTAGAGGTAGAGGCACGAATATACCAGCAGTGTGATGACAGCCATGAGTGGTCTGTGCTTGTGAATACCGAAGGAGAGCTTGTTCCGATTGAAGAGGCACGAGCTTCGGAGGGAAAAACTTTTGTTAACTTCATAGGTATAGCCATCCCTGCATTCGAGTTTAGTGCTTTTCTTAGAGGTTCTGCTAGACATCGATTAACTCTTACCTGAAACGGCGTGTGCTCATTTGATTTTCGTGCATCTATTTCAGATGCGGAGCATCATCGATTTTACGGACATTTGGACGTACCTCTAGATGGAAATGCTTCGCAACCTTGGGTTGCAGGTTTTTACAGTAGCTGTGGTCCTGTACTATACACTTTGAAGGCTTGGTGCTCAGGTATGATCCCAACCATTTTGAAATGTTGGGGTCTGAATGGAGCTTATTTTTCTCGTGGAAGATATGTCAGCTTTCTTGAAAACTGCAGAAACTCGGGTTTTTGGCTTTGATGAGACTTGAGAAAACTTTTTGGGACTTAAAAGATCAATATTTGGACTGGTCGATACAAGTGGTGGAGCTGATGTAGTTGTTGGATTTTGATGCAGCGAATAAAGGTTGCGACATAAACTGCAGTGACCCTGACAGCGGGCCGTGTGTAAGCGTCGACAATTGTCGATGCACTAAGAGCGACGATGATGAAAAATGTGAAATAGGTTGATCATCGAACTCTAATTGAATGTGAGGAATTTCTCAGTAGGATACTTTCATGCATCTGTCAGACTTATGTAGGTTCTTTCCGAAATTTTTCATGTCTTTACATTACAAGGTACTTATTGGATCTCATAGCGGACGGTATCTGATGTGCATATCTGTTTCCTGCAGAAGTGGAGGATTTGCCAGATGAGGAGGATTGGGTATCAAGACATGGGTTGGCTCAGACTCACAATAGCGGTTCGTTACGATATGGGACATGGAGATACTTTCGATTCAAGGTAGAGATGTTATTTCATACTCAGTGTAATAGTCCGTAAGACCACTTGAGGAATGCAAGGATATTATTGATACGATTAGCCAGGCGTTGCTTTTCAGTATATTTGTGACTCCTCTTTTTTTAGACCCACGGACGTTGGCTCATCAGTTAGTACGCCTAGCTTAGACACGACTTGAATGAAAGGATTGCTGAATATAATGTTAAAATTGCGCCATTTGTTTTTTAGTGCGATAGGACTGTATTGTTAGGACTTGCAGTTGAGAGGCAGCAAGGCCATCATTATTGTTATGTTCTTGATGTGGAAACATGATTGTCATTTGCAGGCTTCCAATAATGCAACTCGTATACTGGTAGAAATGCAGAGAGCATATGGCGATTTGATTTTGTTTGTTAATCATGAAGATAGTGATGATGATGATGCTGATGAAGCTGAGGTATCAGCTGATTCACTGCCGAAGGAGCAGGATGCATTAAAATATGCAGACCTTCCAAGCTTTCAAAATCGACTCAGCCATCACCATGTTTTTGTAAATGGCTCTGGAAACTTCTACATTGGGGTATATAACGCAGATCAGTGTGTGGAAGAAGATGCAACCTTCAATCTGACCATCACTATTGCTACTCCAGATGACCCATTAAGTTTATGCCCCTTGAACTGTTCATATCCTCAGGGACAGTGCGTGAGCGACAATACTTGCAGCTGTGAACCTGGTTATGGTGGAATGTACTGTGCAGGATGTGAGTGCCAGAATACTTTTTAAAAACATATCAGAATGCTTTTTTTATTACTCTTTGTTTTGTTTTGTTTGTTTGTTTTTTTCATGAAAAGTAGGCTTGTCAATTTTACTATACATTTCCCTCTTTTTATGTTAGTTGGATGGTGCTTTATTTTTATCCGTCTACGGTTGCCATGGTCTCCCAAACTGCGCTTGCGATGGTCCCATCTCAATAATTCACGACATTCTTTGAAGAGTAGAGCCTTTAAGTCAAACTATGTCGATATAGTGAAAGACATTTTGGGTTGGGTTTATGGTTGTCTGCTTACCGAAGCTAAATATACTGTTCTTTTCAAATTTCTGATCGTGAGTGTTTCGCCTTCTCTGACTTTTGCATATATTGTTTAAACTGTAGCAATTCGGCAAGCTGCTGCACGTCGACCATACAGTGGCCAGCTTCAACCTGGAGAATGGGCTTACATTAACATGACGGTTAATCAGCTTACAGACAACGAGGATATATTGGTCCAATTCAGCTCCTCAACAGGACACCCTATTCTACTGGCCCAGAAAGATCGTTTTCCAACGCTCAAAGACTTTAGTTTGAAATTCTCAAATTCTACTCTAGGTGCCACGCCTTCTGATACTTATCACATAAGTAAAAGCTCTCTGAACAGTGGAGAACTGCTCCTTGGTGTATTTAATATCGATTATTCGTATAGAGGAATATCTGATTTTCAAATCGTGGTATCAGGTGAGTATCTCGTGCGGAAGCAAAGACACTGTTAACGTCACTATATCACCTCGTATGAGTCAGGCTATTTAGTATGTTTTTTTGTACTGTTCCAACTGTTAACATCTTCTTTGCTAGTTGTTAATCCTTGGGCATGGCAAGTAAATACTCCTGCCTTTGTGGTAGTTTTCAAGTTTGTAGTGGCATGCTCATATGTTAGTGTCTCTATTGGTAAGAGCCCTTGAACTAGTTCAAATGCTAGTGTCAGAATACTATATCGAATTCTGGAGAAACCCTTTAAATGGACCATTTATTGGTTTGTTGAAACATTTGCAGCTGAAAATTATAGTCTGACTTTCTTTTTGAATTGTGATTTTGCTGTGCTCCCTTAGGTGCGCGGGAAGGTCTAAGTATATGGGTAATCATCCTCGTGGCTCTTGGATGTTCAATATTTTTACTCACATTGATAGCAACTGTCCGAAGCCTCATGCACAGGGGACAAGCTGAAGTGCCTGAATCATGGGGTCTAGATTTTGAGGCTGTACCTCAGGACGTGGTATGCTAACTCTTGAATGCCCACATGGATTAGGGTTCTTACTTTTAAGATCATGAAATGATGTTTTTAATTGTGGTTTAAAAAATAAATCGAGGGTACGTCCCAAAACTGGTTTGATTTTATGTTCCGACTCTGATCTAGGACTTCAGCTGAGCGCATCTAGTGAAATGTGACAGGAAATGGTGCAAATGCGAACTAAGAATAGAATAACGGTGAGCACATTGCCATTGCTGGCATACCACCAAGGAATGCTCCCCAAGGAGGATGCTGGGTACGTTCCATGTGTTAAACTTCAGCTTCATATCGTCTCGTGTAATAGCATGCAACTTCCATTCTTCCTTAAAACTTTTGTCATGTGGGCATTTGTGCAAGAGAAGAGGTATGAAGTTCTAGTTGTTTTGTTTTGTGAAAACTTATTTATTTTCTGTGGGTTTGTGGTGTTATGAATGTGATGTCAGGTGCTCGATATGTCTAAACAGCTACGACATAGCCGAGATTGTGTGCAGGCTTCCTGGCTGTAAGCACATCTTTCACTTAAAATGTCTGGAGGAATGGTTTCAAACCGACGACAGCTGCCCCTTGTGCCGGGTACCGCTGGCGAAACAGGCTAAGGAACTATCCGCTTCAGAGGCACTTGCACCACAGTCAAGTCCATCATTATCTGAACCAAGCAGTTCCTCAACTTGGATGCCAGGGTTGGCGTTGGACCAGCCATCTCCATTTTGTAGTTGTGAAGTAGGAGACATTAAATCAGCACCTAGAGTAGGTAAGGATGATGGACTGCTTCCTGCTGAAGGCGAGTCTCTTAGTAGTTTAGGAAGCACTTTCTCTAATTCGGAAGGGAGTGATTCTGAATCTCCTCTACAAAGGCAACATTAGGGAGATTCGTCCAGCCAGGCAGCGTGTATTGTATCATCAAAAAATTTGCTCCCTTTGCGCGTTACACTGGCAATCGAACAAGAAATACCTTAAATGTAATTTTCATGACATTGTGTCATAAGTAACAGTTTATGAGCACTTATATGTTGAGCAAACTTCACTTTCAATGACAATGCTGATCTTGATCATCTCTGGAAGAAACGTTAACACTTACAGGGCTTCAGCAAGAGTGGGTTGCTTCTACGGACTAAACATGTTGCTTTACGAGAGGATACGTTCGCTGCCGTACTGCACAGACAATTACTGAACAAAATTAATATCAATGACTTATTTTGTAATTTCATGCCACACCCCAGTGTTTCCTGGTTTACCAATTTTTGGAATTGGTGTCGCCTGAGAGCATGTAATAAGGTGTGAATGTTAATTTTTTACAGTGCCACAACTTTTACAAATTATATACTCTTCAACATCGTGAGTCTACTTGGTTGCCTGCGAAATTATGTTTCTTCTTTTTCTTGTAGGGCTAAGTTAAGCATGTCCGAATGGATATGAACGCTAACTACAAGGCTTTCAGCAAGATTTGGCAACAATGGAATTGTAATCTAGACTAGTTGCAGGTGGGATCGTTCCCAGTATCTCTCCGACTCTAAAGTATTCCTTTGATGCTTTCCCCACAGATCACATCAGTCATGGAAAAGCTGATGGAACATAAGGTGGTAGTCGTCTTCTTCGTTTGAAAAGCTGAGACAAGATGCAGACTCTCAGAAGTTCGTAAAACTACTACGCCTGGGATTCCCTTCTTCGAAATTTGGACTCAAAGCCACTGCATGGAAGAGCTTTCCAAGCAGTATTGGACCGGGTCTTCGACAATGTCATGGTGGACTTCGATTTTGACAAAAGCCCTGCACTTTCGGTGATCTGTGTAAGAACTCATGGAGAGAGCCACGTCTGAAGACTCTCTCGAAGGTTGCAAATTCTAACTCTTATCATTATAGCTATGTTTCACAACTGACTTAATTATAGCAATTGCTCACATTTGCGAAGTCATTAGAAATGGCTTCTATTAGTACGTTCGGCTGATCTCAATTGTGTGCTTGTGCAGTCTAGAGAGTGAGTTAGTTTTAAGGAAGTGATGAAAAGTCGAAGGCTAGTGGAAGGGATTGGGTGTCCAGTTCTGCTTGCAGTTCCGGGATCTCATAAATTACTCGAAACTTGCAAGTAAACTGACGACAGCTGTAACTGGCTCCCACAAGTTTGTGCCGACAAATCTGGTTCCTTTTGAATGGCCCGTCTCTGTGCCAGTTGTTTATCAAGAAAGTGTAAAAAGCTTCGTACACTGATTGTTTGGAATGACGACACATTTGTGATGGTGAATTTGCTGCTTCCAAGAATAGCTTGCAAATTAGGTAAACCTCTATTTCAGCTTGTCTCCATTTGGTAGCTTTCGTTCTTCAAGTATCTCATCTGTTTCTCCCAAGTCCAAGTAGTATGTCATGCTAGTGTGCGTGTTCCTAGTGCTTCGACATGCCAACTCTCTGCTGGGGGAAAATGTGAGGGTTTCACAGAATCTTGCAAACTACTGTTCAGTTATTATATGTGTCAGATTGTTATGCTTTTGTTCTCAGTAAGTTTTGTAATTGTACACTTTTATTCGAAAAAACAGTCTCGGAAGCTTAATATTCCGTTGAACCATGTTTTGACTTTTCTTATCTCTCCATCATTTTGAGGTTTCCTATTTTTATTTTAAAAATCTGGTTGCCAATTTATCAGTCTTCAAACCATGTTGAAAAATTTCTTTTTGCCAACTTTTGTTATTTGGCATACTTTAGTATATTTTAATAATAGATTTTTTTACAAAAATTAAAAATAAAATTATATTTATACCTATGATTGATGCATCTATTTTCTTATTATCTACTATTTATATTTTATTTCATAAATGTTATGTGCAAGCAGCACAACTCATCTCAATTGTGCTACCATTTGTTATCTCTCATGCTAATTTTTGGTCTTTTTTGATCCCACAAAGACAATGTGTTTGTATCATTTTTTTTTTTGTCTTAGATTCAAACATTGCAAACAATAATTTATTGACGAAGCCTTAATTGCTTGAGGTTAACACAGACAATAACTCTGTCAATTGCAAAAGTCTTTTTGGGTACATATGTATGATCCATTGCACTTTTCTACAACTTCACTGTAACAAGCAGCAAATCTCAACAAAGCAATTAATGCACTGATGCTTAATGCTTGTTAGTAATTAGCACTCAAAGATTGAGAGGATAAAATTGCTTGATAATTATTAAACTCAATAAAATACTCTAAACAGTGATAAATCCTTGCAATCCTTTTACACTCTGCAATCTCACTACTATGTTATGTCTCTATTTCAATCTCTCTTTCTTTCTTACTAACAAAGAAAACACTTAAATGATAAAATTTAATTCTTTTCATTTATTAATTATGAAAATATATATTATAAATTTACAACCTATAAACAACATCTATCCTAGTATATATTCTAAAGTAAGCAAGAAATATTAGTTAAGGGATATAGATTGACCAAGATACAATGTAGCATTTAAGCATGATTGAGTGTGTGATGACACTCCAAATACTTTTTCTTGACTTTGAAACTGCAAAACCTTACAAATGTGCCTTTTTAGTATGCAAAAGTCTTTTATTTTAAAGTCCACTTAAATTTTTAAAAACCTTGTATAATTATCATCTACCAATGTTATAATTTCCATCTACCAAGGTTATAATTAAGCAATTATATATATAGAGAGAGAGGGAGGGAGAGAGAGTGTGTGTGTGTATGTATGTGTGGTGTGTATGTGATTGGTAGAGTTTTTAAGAATAAATTATAATTTTTTAAAAATAAATAAATAATAACACAATTTTTTTACTTATAGACCTAAATACATGTGTCTTAAAGACACTTTGTATTTAGAGACATGGTGAGAGATTTCAACATTTAAATATTGTGATTTGTTGAAACCAAGAAATCTCCTTGATTTAGCTTAATACTTGAAAAAATAAGTCCAAAGGCCTAAAAGTATGTCTTTATGTATTCACTAATGTACAAAATAATCAATAAATTATAAAATATGTCTATTTTCATCTTTGATATATATATATATATATATATATATATATATAATTTCTAGGTATACATCCCATTTTTACTATGTAGGTACACCTCCACATATACACAATAAAACTTTTAGTTATATTAAAAAGTTTCATAAGAAATATATATTAGAAGATTCTTCAAATAAAACTAATAAGATTTTAAAATTGAATGCAAGAACTACATAAAATATATTATGAATTTTTTAAAAATTCATTCAATATAAAATATTAAACAAAAGCCATAAGCCATTCTTCATAACTCTTTCAATAGAAATTTACTCTAGAACGTTTTAGTACATACAAGAGTTTTACTATGTGTATGCAAGAGTATCTCACACAAGGGTGTATGTGCATTAAAAAAGAAAAGTCCACCTAATGGTTCTCTATTGATTTTATGTTTTTTTTTTCTAACAACCCTAACTAACAACCATGGTGTAGTAACATGAATTGGAAAAGAAGGCAAGGACCTCTTGGGCAAGCAATAGCTACAAGCTTATGACCTCCTCACAAGATACCAACAAATTAACAACACTTTAATATACTTGTTATTAAGTGGAAAAATGTATGTATATATATATATATGTATGTAGGCATTTATTTATTTGTTGAACCCATTATCAAAATCAATCTGATTGGCTTACTCAGCACACGGCAAAACAAATACTTGCAACAAAACGTCCAGCAGTAGGAGCTTTTTCTGCCCACGTGTCACAATACATGCACCCGTGGCAAGCGGATTACGGCACGACCCCCACGTCTACGTCACCCTCCCACGACTTTACAGCCACGTCAGCTGTCCAGTCACCTCTATGTCTCCATACAGGGCTTGATTCCGGCTCACCGTTTGCGGCCGCGTTTGTGTCAGTCCCGTTGAATGCACCTCTCGTCATAGAATATCCAAATCACTGCGGATGCGAATGGTGGAAATTCCACCTAAATCGGTGTTGGCAACGAACCACCTCGTCAATGTCTCACACCCACCGGAGAAGATTTAAGAGGCACGCCCTACCTACTTGTATTCGGTGATCAACCCAAATGTTTTTGCTATGTTGGGATACTCAGAATTGAATGTCGCAAGGCTCTAATCACGAGGCTCGTCATGGAGAATGTGGGAAATCTCTTGCAGGCGTCTTCGTTGCCTGCGATTTTAGACACAGAGGGAGTGGGCGATCACGCTTCGGAAGGAGAATCCCTTGACCAAGTTCATGCGAGGATTGATCGATTTTTAGCATTGCCGCGGTGCAAATTTGTGTGTTTCCCGATGCCGGGCTTTAGATTAGGCGGCTTCGCGGTGGAGATGATGCGGAGGTCGCCCCCTTCATAGCTGCATGTGGGAAAAGAACTCCGTACTGATGGTTGAGAAAATGGAGTTTTATTCCATTGGACAAATGAAGGAAGGTGTTCAGTAATGAAGATTATTCTCAATCTTCTTCTTCTGTTTAAGAAATTCTGCACAAATATTAAACCATAATTACTGGTAAATTTACAACGTTTTATAATCCCAATGTGTAGAATATATATATATATATATATATATGTATTTGCACAGAAGGATACATGTGTTTATGTTGGTCACAATTATTGAAATTGTTGAAATTTAGATATGATTCTAAAGCACAATGTATATGTATATACATATATATAGGGAATTGTTAATGTGACCCAAGTATTTACGAAATCAACCCACTCGTCCTAACCATCATCAGAAAATTCTCACCTACCAAATTGGCATTGGTCAAAAATCAATGAAAAAATGATTGGATCCTGAACAAATGATGATGGGTGGGTCGATTTAGTAAATGCTTGAATCACTTTACCAATAAACACTTAATCCCTATATATATATTATTGGTTAAACTTAAAATGCTATGAATGCACCTTTATTTTATGGCCAAACAAGTTACTTTCCTTTGTCAAACAGTTAAAGAATGGATTTAAAATAATTGATTGTAGATGATAACAAAGAAAGATACTTAATTCAAAATTGTAACATTGAAGGATCTAAAAAAATTGGAATTTTCCAAAAAAAACTATATATTACATCAAAACACCAAAGTTACTTACATACAAATATAAAAGATCGAAGAAAATTTATGATACGAGTGATCAGTATATATATGACTGTCATAAAGCCCAAAAATAAAAACAATAAAATAAAGCTAAAACTAAAATAAATGCAATGTTTTTATAGAAGAACATTTGTAGAGTTTTATTGTCATCTGTCAACAACAGAAAAACAGTGATATTTACCCGAGTATCAAGATAAAATATGAAAGTAGGAGACATATGAAACTAGCTTATTAAATGTTGCTAAACATGTTGGCACAAAATACTCATTATTTATATATATATATATATATATATAAACCATTAGAATTAAAATTAAAATAGTTGCAAAAGTGTTTGATCGGATTGTTCTCTTTAAGAGCAACCAGGTGTCAAAGGATTGCAATCAGATGAAATATATTTCAAGTATCAAGATGTCATACTTTCCAATTAGTTCAATTATTGTGTGTATGTATGTACATATGTATATATTTATTCTGAAACTTACTGCTTCAATTAGTCCAACGTAATAGGTGTTAAAATATCATATTTTGGCAATAAATTGCATTACAGCCAATGGTCAACCCACAATAAATAAACCCATGACTTTATCATGTGGGGTGACCTTAACTTCACATACAAATCTAAACAGAAACCTACAAAACATATTATGACAATGTGAAATTTGTTGAATTACAGTAGCACGTATCTGTACGTGTACAAATAAAACAATTTCACTTATTTATATATACACACACACACATCTTTCTCATTACTCAATATTATTATTATTATTATTATTTACACATTCTACGTCATCGGTGCAAGTCTCAACTCATCTTTCACATTCCCCAAAATCACCGAGAAGGAATTTCCACGCACATATTTTTTTTTTTCCCGCAACCCTTCGCCATTCAAATCGCTTCGTCGCGGAGATTTCAAGGGCGCAAAATAACATAACCCTAATCCACAGTCGGGGTCGCTGCGAAGTGGATAGAATCATGGCCCTACTGATCACGGCTCTGTCCTCCGCACTGACGGACTCATCGGGGATCGCGAAGCGGATGGAGCAGCGAGGACGAAGCAGGAGGGAGCTCCAGATCTGCGGATGGAGAATAATTTAAAATTATACATTTACGTGCGTTGTCCATCACTTCTGCAGGCAGTGGCATAATAATCCCCCCTCCCCTCTTGCAGGGCGCCGATGGCACTGGCTCTCTCGCCGCAGTGTTCGTCTGTTTCCCCCTTCCATTCGACCTGGCTTCGCATTCTGCGCTGGTGGCTCTAGAACTGTGTTTCCATACATCTGTGTCGGAGTTCTATAGTCCGAATCTGTTGTCTTCTGCCTGAGTTTGGGGTTCGCCACGCCGGAGTTGCTGTAGCATTGGACGAATTGACAGGTGCGCTCTGGAGTCACGCTTTATTATCTGTTGTTGCTGAGCTGCAGTGTGGGGTCGTCGGTTGTGTGTACTTGCAAAGAGCATTGATTCGTTTGGTGGGATAGTCAGGCGTTGTCTTTCATCGATTCGTTCTACATGATGTCGAATTCTTTCGGATAGATGCTGTGTTGTCTTTTCCCTTGCGTGTCTTCGTCGTGTGGCTAGAACAGAAGTCACGGGCTCGTCACCTTGGAAAAGAAAATAGTTCAGAGCTGTGTTTTCTCGCCTATCTTGCTTTTTAGGGGTTGCGTTGGTCGCAATATGAGAGTTCGAGTTGAAGTTGGTTGAATGATTACAATGCAGGGTTGCGACGAAGACGTTTGCAGCGTGCTTGAGGTTTAGAGCCATCTACTATCACTCCAGGTTGTTATCTATAGGAATGTGTGAGTGTTTGGGTATTCCATTGTGAGCGGACGTGGTTAAAACTGCGTTTGAGGTCCCCTGGGATGTTCTGTGAATTGTTAGTGTTGAGAAGTCTTTTTGAGGAGGTTACTTAGCATCTGCGGAAGCACGCTGATAAGGTTTCTGTATTGGAATGATTCAGAGGACAACGCATCCAGGGGAATAGTGTCGTCGACTTTCCAGTAGCAATACTTAATCCAGTCAATATTCTGGGTTCTTACCATGGGGAAAGGGAGGGGATTTGGAGGCATGCGATCGACGTCAATGGACGGCAGCTATGGAAGGATTAAGCGTGGTAAAGATCTCTGTAGTATCAGCGAACTTCGTGCCACTGAGGTACCTTGCTCAAATTTTGGGTACGAGCGAGTGAGCAAGAAGTCTCTTGATCGTAGGTTGAGCTTTTCGTGGAGCAGGAAATCCTCAAAGAATAATTTCGATACATCTAGAGTCGGAGACGCTGTAATCGAATCCCAGTCAGCAGCTTCTTCGTGTACAGTTGCAACAGAAAGTGGCTCAAATCAGGAGCCAAGAAGGAAGAGTCTGTTCGGCATCAGAAATTTCATGGTCGGTATTCTAGACTCTTACAAAAAGATAATGCAGTCCGCCGAGGACTCCAACGTGCGATTCTCCGATCTTTATCCAAGGAATGCTATGATGGCTCCTGTCACTCCTGCCACACGCAGCAGCAGCATAAAGTATGTGTCTCCCTCGCCTGGCGTTGGCCGACATTCATTCGTTACCGTGGAGGAAGCGTTTCGTGAGAGATAGCAAGTTTTCAACAACAGCGACATTGATCGCTTCCGATGTTCTCTGTCGAACATCTTTTTGTACCGCGATTTTGAACACGGGCAGTCAAGGTCTTCAGATTATTGCGCAATTGGATAATCCACGATGTGGCGCTGGATATGAGTCCTATTTGGAAGAAATTCGTGGTTGCAAAGCTCTGCGACCAATCCAGAGGCGAACCCGTCAGACTCTTTACATTAGTGTTGGGGTTGAAATACCTGTTCAATTCTGTTTGTTTCATAATTGTCGGCTTGTTGGGTCTAGGAGAAACCTCCCTCGAAAAACTACTCCAGTGAATTGATGGGACATGTCTTGTAAGTCGAGGTGTAGAATAGCTTTGCAGTAAGTTATACTGATGCCAGAAACAACTACGTCGACAGTCTCGTCTTGTTGCTCAAACGGATGGGACGCGAGGCATGTCTTGAAAATACCTGGACGATTTGTCCATAAACATTGTAAGCTGAGCGAGGTGACAGCCGATAGGTAAACCTATTTGCGACTTGATCTGTGTGGTCCCTTTTCACACATTGTGTTGGCCCCCAGCTATCGAATTTGAAAACATTATTCTGATGGAATTCTCAACATCATTCAACAACCAACTTGCACTCACCTTGTAGATTATCCCTAGTGAATCATCTCAAGTAGGGGTCTCATTGCAGCTGTATCCAGGTTGACATTTGTAAATGATTATCTCTCCAGTGTTCACATAAAAATCTTGAGTAACGCTGCAACACAAGCTTGTGGAGCTCACCTAAAATACAATCAGAATGTGAAAACGCACTGTGGTCAATAATCTGCAATATTCAGTATCTTATGTAGTATCTCACAACAGCAAATGCACTCTTCAACATCATTTGATGAAGACCTGTCACTACAATTCGCCTCCCATAATTTTCATTCAGGCTGATTCAACAAGTCAGTACGCCGAGACAGATAAATCATGCCACTGAAGCTGATCAATGACTACTTCCTCAAAAAGCTGTTGTATCTGACCTAGTTTAATGGACAATGGTGACCAGACAAGTCAATGAGCGAACTGAATGCAGGCTGACCTTGGAACATGTCGCGAAGCCTTTAAGAAAATCCAGACCTTGAATGATCTCGGACCGAACAAACCCCTCGAACTTCGTGCTCCTCACTATTTCAAATTCCAACGACTGCACCTCAATCTTCGTATGTACTGAAAGCAGACTCTTCGAGGCGGCACAACAACTAATTCCGGGTATCTAGTAGCTCTCAACTTGAGTCCCACATGATCCCGAAGCGATCCAGTTCTCAATACTTCTAAATCCTTCACAGTCCTCCGATGAAACCAACGCGATACTCTCTAGGACCGTACGATCCTTTTACGATGATTGGCGTAGAGAGGCAGCAGAGGCCTGACGTGGCGCCAGCGTGGACAAGCACGCCATATACGAATGAATGATAAACATCCAGTGGGGTTTCGACGAACGAATTCCAATCACGATTCAATTTAAAGGAAAGTGGAATTAATAAGAAGCAAATTTAGATTCCCTTGGAATTCAATAATTCAAATGGGTTGTATTAAATAAGGTTGCGACAACTTAAGGTGTATTGTTTTTACGGTAGGGATCAGGAGTGGGCATTGAAGCTAATCTTTAAACTATATCAATCAAGACTAAAATCGTATGCCCAAAGTGATGAGATTGATTTCATTCTTCAATAAAGATCCATAATGTGGTGACCCACACAAACAATGTGTTGGTAGATGGAATGGAATGGTGAACAGATACAAAAGAGCAATACAAGTTGGAATTTACAGCTCATCCTACAAACTAGCTAAAAAGAAAATCATATTTAATGTTGCACTCTTTGAAAATAAGAGTGCCACTCCTTAAAAGTTCATTGGAAAGGAATAATGAGGTGGCAAAATTTGGAAAAATGAAAGAATCCATCCTTCTAAATTGCAATATTTGGGATTGATTTTTGCCCCATATTGTCTTTTTTTCATTTTCTTTATTTGATTATTTCAATTTGATTCATTTTCAAGTTTAGAACAAATAGGGTTTAGTCTCAACTCCTACCATACAGCACACATCTCTAAGAGTATAATTTCATTGAAATAGGGACAAAAGCCTACAAAAGAGTCAAACATGAAACCATGGTATTCTCAAAATATCAAAGAGCCCATTGACGTACTTATGGAACTAATGGACAACATATTATGCAATAAGAGGTGGACAAAATGACACTTGGAATGTGTTGACAATTTCTTAAACCTCATTAATAGTATATGGATTAGTGTTGAGATGCACTTATTTCATGTTATTTTTTTTCTATAAAAAATTATTGGTTACATTAAATTATTTTCTTTTTCATTGGAATAGCTATGCTGGTATTTGTGAGTTGCAATTTATCAAAATTATTTTGCTTGAATATTTTGTTTATTACACACACACACACACACACATATATATATATATATATATATATTATGCTGATTTAAAAATCGAACAAATATGTAAAAAAAATAATGTATATTTTTTCAAAAAATATAATTTACTGTATAAGCCACACTTGAAAATTTTAAATATTGTAGATGAACAACAAATCAAAGAATAAACTTAAATGGCATTGCCTTATAACTTGTAACTAATTAATCATAAGACACATCAAAAATGTAATTGGCCAATTAATTAGTAGTTGGTCGTCTCTCTTCAATTTATTTGTAAACCTGTGAATTTTGATTCATGTTGCTAGATTGTTAACACTGCCATTCAGGACAATGGCCGTTCTTTTACCTTTTCCCTATATCTAAATATTATAATTTTACGAAATTTTGAATCAATATCAAATACTTGTTATATCACACTAATAATGCATTATTTAGAGCACAAATTAAAGGCATATGTATATATATGTATGTATTGTTTCCATTTTTATAATAAATAGCATAAAAAATGATATATATCATTTAACACAACACATACAACTGACTAAAATTGAATTGAAAAAATCATTATTTATATTTATATTTTTTAAAAAAATCAATAAACTTTTGAAACAAATAATTAAGCATAAATACACTACTTCAAGCTAACTGCAATAGTTGATGTAATTACAAACATTAAGCTTTACCATTACACAAAACAGAACAATCTAGTTTCAAGTAAACATATCAATTTTAAAAATATATTCACAGGTCGATGAAAAGAAAAAATTCATCAAATGTATTAAAATTTAAAATAATCATTATTTTTAATGGTGTTTTTTTTTTTTTTTTCTTATTTTCATCCTTTAAACATCATTACAGACTTCATACACAGAGTAATAAATTAATTTGTAAAGAGGAGAAATCTATTTTTCAACCTAAAACCCAATCTTTAATATTTTTGGTGAAAAATCAAAAGTCATAACTATTTATGAATGTATATAAATATATATATCAAGAATAATTATATCCCTCAACTTATTCAAAATTGAATATAAAATTTAATAGAATTTAAATATGACATAAATGTTGTAAAAAATAAGAATATTAATTGAATTAGAAACCAAAGTGTATAATTTTTTGGAATAATTTTTTTATTGAATTTATTAATTTGAGATAGAAAATACAAAATTTTGAGATAGATTTATTTTTTATTAAATTACATTTTATTTTATTTATTTTATGATTTTGAGTCCAGTTTTATTGATTCAAAATAGTAATTGCAGTTGTGAAAACTCTAAAGTTTTAATTGACAACCATTAGTTCCTTTTAGAAAATGTTAATCGAGATACTGCATTTGAAAGAAACAAAAGAAACATGTCATAGATGTTCATATATGCAGGTATATATATACACTTCTTAATTACATAATTCATTGTAATGATGCACAACCACAAAAATTAAATGGATTATCCAAAATGTAAAAAAGATTATTAAATTAAGATTTTTAATAGTATAAATTAAATCTATGTGTTAATTTTTTCTGGTTTTAAATATCAAGATAATATAAAAGAATTTAAAGGTACAAGAAAGAAAGTTGGATTTTCAGTTTACATCATGTATCCACACCATTTCATATCACTAATTAGTTTTGGCGAATAATTTATATGTTTAATTTAGCTGATTACATTCTTTACAAGAGATATCATTGTTTGCCAATAATAAAAATCCAACAATAAAAACCAAGGCAAAAAATTTAGACGTCATCATGTACACATTAACGTTCCCATTTTACTCGAAATAACAAACAAAATAAACAATAAACAGTAAACAATAACACTAAAAAAACATATCAAAACCAATTTTTTCTTCCTTTCTTTGAACATACGTAAAATCGAAACATCCTACAAAAACTAGAAAAAACTAAAGGAGAAATAAAATCTCCGTTCATCTCAACCCAATAATACCCGAAAAGCATGGCATTGCTATCAATGCACGAACCAACAAACGAATGAATAATAATATATCATCCAACTTATCATCCCCATCATCATGATCCACAGTGGGGGGGGCATGATGAGGAGTCTTTCCAAGAAGCTGCTGCTGACATGTTGATGCCCTGCTCTCTCTCTCTCTCTCTGACAGGCGTCCCAGAGGAACCCACCAGAGCAATGTCCGACAAAATGGCCCACGCCTCGTCATGGCTTCGTAAATCGAACCCGCATCACTTCCCATCACGGCTTTAAGGCCCCTCTTTACGTCTAAACGCTGCATTGGAGCATTCTCATTGGTCGCGTGATGTCAGATCAGACGTGGGTTAGAATCTGGGCTCCTGAACGTCCCGGATATGGATTTCGCGGTAATAGGATCTTTGTCAGTGTGTGCCTTTCGCCGAGGGCTGGGAATCCCAGAAAATGGCCCCGTTATCCGCTAACGCGGTGGCTTGGTCCATCATACTTGCCGTGCTCGCACGTCTCCTTTGTAAGATTGCGGGGTATATTAGTACAAAATCTAATCTAAGAATCCGTGAGTTTTGTGTCTGTACATTTTCATGGGTTCGATTGATTCTAGAAACTCATAACGCCTTCCATGAATGTATAATTTTTAGAACTCTATATCGCATTCTATGAATGCATTTCTTTACGTCCGTGTTCTTTTGTTTGCCATTTATACAATGGGTATATTACTTCATGCAATATCTAAGGGCCAGACGGGGGCCTTGACTCAGACTTGCTTATAATGCATTGTTGGAAAAATCATTCCGAGCACGTTACACTCATATTGCAAATATAGCACATATTGAACTTCATCGTGGAATTGAAAAATGCATTGAAATTATAAAGAATTTTGTACCAATGTTGGTTTTTTTAAATCTTTACCTTTCTCGATTGAACAGTTCACTGGGTCAAAATCAATGTTTTATCCCTTTACAACTATGTTCGTATTTTAATTTAATTGTCCACAGTACATGAATGGGGTTCTAAAGAAGAAGTGAACAAGTAATATAGACAAAATGCACAATGTTCGAGAGATTTCCACGTGTATTGTACACATTTAATTCATTATTAAGCAAACCAGTTTATTATATATCCAATTTTTAGGAATTAAACTGGGTTATGCTGTTGCTGCATGTTTGTAGCTTCGAGTAGCTGCGAGGGTCAACAATTGTACCGTCGTGATTTTGCAAAGAGGTCACACACAAGAGGATGAGCTTCGAAGCATGGCGTTAAAGAGCTTCGATGCCCACACGAAGTCCAGCCGCGCAGGAGGTCCGCTCGCCGAGCCAAAGAACGGAACGATGCCCAGAAATTCATCACAACAGCCAAAGTGGTGCCAGTGAATTGACGACCCACAGTTTACTGCCGTGCTTGAATGCGCGGCACACGGCATTGATAATTTACTGTGAAATCGCTGAGCCTGTTCTGGAAGAGACTAGTACAAAGCTGACCGCCGATCAGAAGATCGACTCGAACAGAAGCGTCAGGGAGAGACTTCCGTGGGATGGTGCTCGGGAAAGCCGCGCTACTGATGCTCCGTTACTGCCCTGGAAGATGCCGGACGGAAAGGACCCCGGCGGCTTGATACCAGCTTCAGCGTCTCAAGCTCCGGTCTTTACAGATTGATCCGCAACTCGACTCCCAGTCGCTCCGCGCATAGCTCGGCGGCATGCTCCGCTGCTGACGCTCATGCTCATCTGAATCTCCATGTTTAGAACTGACCATTATGGAGGAACCCCTACCATCGCCTGCCTCCTCCCGGGCCCCACGAGCGCACATCCACCCATCCTTCACCTCGGGAAGAGGATTCTCCCACCCATGTTCCAGTGAATCGCAAGAATGCAATTCCCCCATTCCCTGGAACCACTCCTGTGATTTACACATGGTGCTGCAGTTGCAAAGACCTCTCTTTTCTTTCTTCTGTCCTCTCCCGAATGCAAGGCTGCACATGCGATGCAATAGGACCATGAGAAGCCAAATAAGAACTGGTCAATGTGCATGAAGTGCATCAAATTTAACTACATCGATTTCAGCGTGTGGTAGAAACAGGACGACGAAGACGAGCAGCAGCTAGTCAAAACGGCTTACCGCGTTGTTGCAGTGCCAATGCATTTTAGTCACTAAATCATGCCAACTGGGTATCACTTTATCGACTGCATTGTTCACCGATGCTTTGTTTGCGATGAATGCAATTTGCATTCAAGGTCTCCACTGTCATATTTCAGCTCTAAGAAACAGCTTATGAAGTGTGTGTGCGTGTGTGTGTGTGTTCGTTGAAGCCCTACTTGTTAACGGACAAGTGATATAATTATGCAATGCAAGTAGGGATTATATAGTTTTTCCATTCATCGGCAAAACGATGTTATAAAACTTGTGAGTGTGTGTGAAACTAGTGCAAAATTCAGTCATCAAGATTCAATGCGTCCAAATTAACACGTTTTATAGTTATATTTAACATACTGTCTTTTGCATTTACATTCTGACGTGTATTGAAGATGCATTTGACATGCAAGATTGAGTGTGAAATGTACATTATGGCATGCACAACAACGCATCTCTTGAAAAGAATAAAAAATAAAATCTAGGGTTCAATTTTAACAAAATGAAAAGAAAGTTCAGTGTGTAGTTTTTGAAGTGTTTGTACATAGCACAACGTAGCTATTCCATGATTGATAACATTATTGGAGATTTAAAATAAATAATTCTATCCCATATTTGTTTTAAATAGGTGGCACGTTCATTGTTGATATTACATCTCTTTTAATTTCTTAATTTTATATTTAAAAGTCACATCTCTAATTGTCTCACTCACTAGTCCATTTTTCTAAATAATCTATTTACAGCTTTGGTGGTTGTACTAGTAACTCACTAATTCCCAAACTCGAAGATATTAATAACCATGCATGCCCATGATTTCCTCGTTTTCATCTACGCAGATCAAGCAATAAGAAATTGCAAATCACGATTTAATATTTCAAAGCACATTACTCTCCAACTAAAATTTTAGAAAATCAAAAGTTAATATTAGTCAAAATTGGCATTAGGACGGAATTGTTGTGGGTTGAGGGGGGTGTCATCGTTGCACACAATATTCCATCACTCTCGTATCTTTATTGCACATTATTAAGGAAATAGAAATACCCTTATAATAACCCATTCCCCTTTTCAAAGATATCAGGATAGAAAAATGACACAAGGAACTAACAGATAAAGAAACGCAAAAGGAAACAAAAGTTACGATAAAGTATGACGAGGAGCAATGGATGGATGTATAAGGTTCCGAAATTGCGATAGATATTTCATCGCGAACGGGCCGGGCGTCAGCGAGCCATTCGCATGGAGGGGGAGGTGGGGGTTCGGGGCTCGGTGACTCGTGCCGAGGGTTCCTTGAAGGAGCCACAGGTGGGCAGGTGATTGCGGGACCCTCCTCCATTAGCCTCTGTTGGTGTAGGGCTTCGTGGTGGTTAGTTATCCTGCGTCGTAGTTGCCGAGAACTTCGAGAGCAGTGGGCTACTGGCCCTTGCCCACAAGCCCCATTCTGTGTCGCCCTCCTTCTCTGGCGAAGGCTCCACCTTCTTTGCAGTTTCTCTGTCCTTATGACTGACTGCCGTGGGATTTCCTTGGGGGTTACTCCTTTCACGCTCCGCCAATATTCACCTCGATCGTGGCGATAGATTTCGCTGCCGACTTTGGTTGTGATTAAGTTAATCTGCGAACCTTCGTTCTTTATTGGAGCTCTCTCTCTCTCAGTCCGCTGATTCAATTACAGCTGATTTTGTAAAATGATTAAACAATGATTTGAAAATTTTGATTCGCCTTTTTCTGATGAAGAGTCTAGTACCTTTTTCGAAGGCGTACCTCGGTACACTTCGATGAAGAGTCCTCGTACACCTCGTGCAGGTACACATCGATGAAGAGTTTAGTACCTGGTTTTTCGATGAAGAGTTTTGATTTGTCTTTGTATTATTTTTGACTTTTTGAAATTTGATTTTGATTTTTTTGTTTTTTTGTTTTTCTATTTTTAATTTTTGATTTTTTTTCTGCATAGTGAGAGTCTTGGTCTAATTTTGGGACGACATGGATGGTTGTTTTTTTCCCTGCATTATGTTGGATTGCCCCTTCGATGTGAACCTGGACGTGTATTTGTTTCAAGTTCTTCACTAGGATTTTAATTCAAATCAGCAGTGCAAAGTAGATTAAATAAAAAAATAAAATGACAGTCTCTCGGTATAAGGAATTGATGACTTGGTCTAGAATTTGGTTAAAATTTGATTGTTTACCAACTTGGCTTCTGCAGATAACACGTGCTAAATTCCTCTCTTTCATGACTAGAATAAACTGGGTTCATGAAAATGTTACTTAGATCATGATCGAGAGGAAATTTCACTCCATGTTGTGTTAATACATAAAAAGTAAATATAAATATAGCAAAAGAAAGAGTGAAAAGGCTTTCACCATATAATGAGATTGTGCGAATCAAGGCTGTTGGGTTTCGTGACCAGGTCAAGAATAAACTCATATTTATAAAAAAACTCCGCTTATAATGCTTTTTAGTGCATCCAGACTCCACCAAACAAGACAATGCTAGGCGACGAAGAAGAGGAGTCCGGAAGTTCTACAGTTCCGGTCGCATTCCAAATCTCTTGATTCGAAAAACTAATATGATCGAAGGTGAATATCATAATTTTTCAACACTGCAGGGTTTCACAATTAGTATAACATTGTGTACAAAAAAAATTCCATCACATACTAACGTGGTTTGAACAACCTCAAGGGGATTGATACTATTGTGCTTGATCAACACTCACCACCGAATAAAATTACGTGTCAATCTCATGTTCTTCATCCTAACTTGCATCCAAATTGGCTTTAATTAGATAATAAAAGCAGTTCAGATATTTAAAAAACCGACACAAGCAAGAAACCACCACCTAACACATTGCTCCTTGTAGAATGTTTACAACTCTTTCTTATTTTTGGTACCAACATAAGAAAAAGAAAAACACCGAAAGAAACAGAAATATCATGTCCATACGTGCAACCTAAACCGGACTTATTACACACAAGTGGGCTAAATAACCGAGGCCCACCTTCAAAGTTTACTGATGATCTCTTTCGAAAACAGAAAGAGAGGCTTACAGGGAGCGAAAATAGCTCTGCCAGTTTGTGGAGACAAGGGCTGCCACAATTCCTTTGGCCACCTCGACTAGGCAAAAGTCAAGCGAGCGCGACGTCCTTGGTGCCGAATCCTTGGGCCGATTTGCCGGTTTTCTCTCCGCAGAGCACGACATTTCTGCATCATTCTAATCGCAGCATTACGCTGTGGGCTTACGTATATAATTTTTATCTTCAATAAAAACGAGACCTCGATGTGACTTGGGACGGAAGCCTTGGAACAACTGCACGGGGGGTCGAGGTTACGTTCGCGAACGCCACAGACCAGGGTTCAAGTTCCAAGTTTCCAGGTTCCAAGACCCCTCAAGTCTTACAAAGGAGGAACCCTTGGATTTCAATCTGCTTCCAGACTCTTCCATTTCATATTCCTTACCGTGCCTTCCGCACCGCGCACCTGTTGTTTGTTTTTCTTTTTACTCTCGAGATGATCTTTCATTAAAAGCTCATTTGTATGTTGGAGTTTTCGCCATAGCCACTGTGCGTAGAGTTGTTACGGTGGGGATCTCTGGTTGTGAGTCGGGAAGAGGGGAGGGTTTCGAGGCGGTGCTTTGAGCTTGTTACATTCGCAGGTTGTTTGTTCTAGTTGGTGACCAGCGGGAGGATCTGGGCTGCGCTGCTGCTGGCTGCTTGAGTGTAATGCGTTCAACTGGACGGGGTGGTTGTGACGAGGGAGGACTTGTAGGGAGACGAAGTGCCGTGTTTGGACGGTGACAGCGGTTTGATCGACGTCGGAAGGGTTGTGACATGTTTTGATGCATCGGAGGGAAACTCGCGTGTTGTGAAGAGGAAGTTTTGAGATTCTTTCAGAGTGTGCTGCACGGTTAACGCCGCAGACGTGGTGCAGTTCTGGATAGTGTCTTCGTTACAGGTGTTGGCGGAATAGACGCACATGTGTTTACAGCGCGGTTGAGCGCCCAATTCCGTGTTTGTTGAACAATTTTCGTTGGAGGACGACTCATCTTGCAGCATCGTGCTGTATGGTTGAGAGTGTAGTCGATCTTGGCTAGAAGATATAGCGCAGTATATCTCTTGGCCAACGTTGTAACTTTTTTACGTTTGTTACTACATTTCCGTCGGTCGTAGGGTCCGCTTCGAAGGATTTGAAGTTCATTTGTCCTTGACAGTGGAATTGACAACGATTTAGTACAAATCTGCTATCGTGGACAAGGATCGTCAGCATATGTCTACTATTTCGGTGCTCTTGTTCTAACGTGGTCAAGTTATTTCTGAGAAAATCAGGGAATAATTTTGCTCTGTTCGAGACAATACATATCGTATCCTAGGTTACGTTGTGATCTTTGACCATCTTCAAACTTAAAGTTGAGGAAGGGTATGAGATTAGTGGTTTAGTTCACCCTGGGTGAAGTTCTTATTCGAGGATTGTGAGCAAGTTGGGCATACTGTCTTCATAGTATCTGAAGAAACTAATTACAATGGAGTGTTTAACCGTGAAAATCGCATAGGATTTCGATGTAGTTGTTGGGTATCACAGCTGCCGAGCTACGCTTGCAGCTGTCTTGGTTGTGAATAGTGTTAAGTATGGGTTGTACGTTACAGTAGTTACAGTGGGTAGTGTCATTGTGAATACACATACACCGGGTCAAAATTTAGAACCTGAAGCGCGAAGTGCATCGCGTCCATATCGGATCTTAGTCGTCATTACTTGCAACAGTTTATCAGCATGAAGAAACAGTAATCTATTCCAAGTTCTAGTGCCTACCCTTCTGCTTCGTCAAGCACTTGATTCAAAGAGTTCTCTTGGTTTCTGAGGAAGATATTCAAGATGGCTGCTTCGGGGCTAGTTATGTCTCCAGCGGAAGCTTTCTCTCCCGCAGTTCGTCGGGCCTTGCCATCAATGGAGGCTATTCAAATTTACCTTGCTACACTCGGCTCTGACGTCGTCATCCCCATGCAAGTTCTGAGGTCCGATACCATTGCGTCCGTGAAAATGCGTATCCAGGCTTACAAGGGATTTTACACCAGGCAACAGAGACTTGTATACGGCGGTAGGGAACTTACCCGCAATGACCGCTTAATCAGGGATTATGGTGTCTCGAATGGAGAAATGCTGCATCTGGTACTTCATCTCTCTAATATTGTGGATGTCACTATCAAATCAATCGATGGGAAAGAGTATGTTTTCAAGGTTGAGAGGAGCCGTTGTGTTCGAGATCTGAAGAAGCGGATATCCGAGAAAGAGGGCTTGGATTTGGACGCCCAACAGTTGGTTCTCAGGGGGCAAAATCTAGAAGATCAGAAATGCATCGACGAATTGTGCCTGCAAGATGATGCTGTGGTACACCTCATACTAAGGCGATCATCGAAAGTACGAACGAAGGTAGTCGGGAGGGATGTGGAACTTTCAGTGACAGCGGAGGAACCTGCTATTGCGAAGGAGAAGCCTTTACCTGAGGAAATCCATGAGGCGATGCCTACCGAAAAGCCTAAGTATACTATTCCTCATCGCCAACTTAGTTACAACTTTAAGAATGAAGGTACTATCAAGAACGAGGTCAAGCCTCAGAATATCCTGGAGCCAGCCTGTGGAATTCTGCGTTATCAGATTGCAGACGTTCTAATTGATGTCCTTGAGCAAGCGAAGGCTGGTCTTCAGGGAGGTTACGCTCCTGCCTTGGCGTCGGAAGGTTCTGGCGGAGCGTATTTTCTCAAGAATTCATATGGTGTAGATAATGTAGCCATTTTCAAGCCTGTTGACGAGGAGCCGTTGGCTATAAACAATCCTCGTGGTTTTGCCAAAATCCCAAGAGTATCCAGTAGTGAAGGTCTTAAGAAGGGTACAAGAGTAGGAGAGGGAGCCATGCGGGAAGTTGCTGCTTACTTGCTGGATCATCCCAAGGAAGGGCCGAGGACCTCTTTCAAGAAGCAACCGATTGGGTTTTCTGGGGTACCGCCTACAATGATGGTTCGATGTGCACACGAGGCTTTTCGGTATTCAGATGACGCTTGGGATCTTCCAAAGAAGCCTAAGCTCGGTTCTCTTCAGCAATTTGTGCGAGCCTTCAGCAGTTGTGAAGACATGGGGACTGCCAAGTTCGAGGTGGAGGAAGTCCACAAGATCGCCGTTCTTGACATGAGACTGGCCAATACTGACAGGAATGGTGGAAACATCCTCGTCTGCAGAGATGAGAACAATGGCATGAAGCTTGTACCGATCGATCATGGGTACTGCTTACCTGAGAAAGTAAGAACTAGTATTATCATGTTACTTGTAAATTTTTTCATCTTATTCCTTGTGGATGTCAATTGTGAAGAGTTTACTATACTTATTATTTTAAAGCCAATCCCTCGAACTGATTTTTTCTGTAATTTTTTTTTCTGTATTACACAGTTTGAGGATGTTACATTTGAGTGGATCTACTGGTCGCAAGCGGAGGAGCCGTTCTCACCATCCACCTTGAAGTACATAGAATCTTTGGATGCAGAGGAGGATCTAGCTCTTCTCAAGAAGCATGGATGGTCCTTGCGAACATCGTGCAAAAGAGTGTTTCGGTTATCCACAATGCTCCTGAAGAAAAGTGCAGCTGCTGGATTGACTCCTTATGAGATTGGTTCTATGATGTGCCGCGAGACCCTCTACAAGAAGTCAGTTATGGAAGAGATGATCGAGGAAGTTGAAGACAAATTGCCGACCTCTGCAACCGAACGTGACTTTTTGAATGCGATGTCAGCTACAATGGATAGTCGCATCAACAAGCGAAAATGAAAATGTAGATGAGTGTAACTGTATGTGTAGCTGGATGTTTACAGATAATCTGTCCAAGACCTGATTTCACAACTGCTTAGTGGTAGAATTTCAGGATGTTAACACATGTTGTCAAGGACGTGTTCATTCTTTGCCCTTCAAGATACCAAATCCTTCTTATCGTAACCTTTTTACAAGGAAAACTTCAAAAAAACCTATGTATATTTATATTGAAAAAAAAAAGCTATATAACTGAAGATATTGTGAAGGTTCTTCTGTACACCCTTCTTTCGTGCGATTTTTGCTAACGAATGAGTTTTTCGCATTTGTTGATGGCTCTTCCACGTCTCTAACCAAACTTCGATTTTAGTCACGTATGCTGAATGTCAAGTCCGGTTTGTATGAAACTCTGGGCCCAAGAGGTTTTTTTCCAACACGTGATCAACACGTCACACAGACAGTAGTTTTTCTTGCGAGCGGCGATTAGCTGTCATCATACATTGATTTTACGAAGGTAGACTGAGATCCTCATCGACACAGCGTAACAAAGTATCAGCAACTTCAAATATCTTACTACTGATAATACTTGAGCAGACACATAGTCCTCGAAGTCCTTAACTTTGACATTTTCACTTGGTTGCACTGGGCATCACATCAGTTGTGAGCAATAAGATCTGTTGCCGTTGTAGCGACACCAAGCGTAGCTTAGAATCCTTTTCTGAGGCAAGTGGGGTAAGTGTCACCGCAGAGGCTTTTTGAGGTGGCGCCCTCACCCAGCCCAAGAAGTTGAAAGGTCCTTCAAAGGTGAGGGTGACCCTGATTCTACGTATATGATTATTCTAAGGATATGATTATTTTGTATGTCCGTAATGGCAAGTTATTGCTATTGCCAAGTGTGTCATCTCAAGTGATTCGAGCTTCGGCTTGGCTCAATTTCGGAAGAGGTTAGGTTACATGGTGAGCATGATAGTGATAACAAGGTAGCATCGACAGCCATCAACAGTGATAAGTGACAGGCCGATCTGCTCGGGCCAAGGTAAGGAGAAATCTGAACAAAGTTGTGGCAAAGATTCACACTCCTGACACCAATGAATTGACATTCTACCTCGCAGTTCCACGAATTTGGTCAAGCATGTAAGGACAAGCAAACAGCGGCCGGAACTCTGAGAGCTTTGGCAGGCGTTCCTGTTCAATAGGCTTTGTGCTAATCTCTACAAATAGGGCTTCATCCAATGTAGCACATCGAACGAAGCACCATGGAGTTTACATGGGCGGTCAACTTTGATCAATCTCGATGTCCAAGGCAGTGAATCGCGCAGTCTTCCATCGCTAAATTCGCGGAATTTCTTCTCGATCGTGACCTGCATTAGAGGGGTTGCAAAGTCTCGGTATCCCAGGCAACGGTCCAGTGAACGGTACCATTTTATGACTTGTTCTCCAAGCAACGGTTGCATTTTATCGTCAGGTTTGGCTGATGTAGTGATCAACAATGCTTTCAACGTGAAGGTAAATCAGGAAGAGCGAAAGATCGGCTCATAGGAAAAGAATCAAGATGTGACCCACACCGTACTAAGTACCGAGCCGACATCAAGTAATATATCCCTGACGTCGTCCTTGGGGAGTAGGTGTCACAGATGCACAACCGCTCCTCACCATTTGGTAGCAACCTATTCGCTTCATATTGAAAGGGTATTGCTGCAAGCCGTGATCACCAAGTTATTGTGGCCAAAACTTGCGGAGGCTGGGAAGTTTTCATGTCAGTCTATTGATTAATTCACGAGAAATTACTTCACAATTTTCTGTGAGGCGCACCATGATACATACACAACCATTTATTGTTGTGCCTCCTGTCCTGATGCAGTGTTTGCAAGGACTACGGGAGCTAGTCATCCTGCACTCTACGTCTAGCAGCAGTATAGTCTGTACCCTTAAAAGCTGACCGATCCATCAACGGGTTAGAACCGGCGTCGAAGAACCGATAGTTGTACATAAAATGTGCAAAGAATCAGAGTGGATGCCGGAGAATCGAATCCCAGTCCAAGCACTCCCCCATTTCGACTGCAAAATTCTTGGTTGTAGATTGCTCACAAAGGACACCGTTCTTTCGATGTTAAGGTATTCCGTGTATGATGTCACTAGGCAATGGAGAAGAGAGCAGGAGCTATGTGGACTCTGAGTGACGCTTGGGGTGGTTTGTTCAAACTGCGAAAAGCGAACATTCTGAATCAAAGGTCTTCATGAAATTTACAAAAGTTCGGATCCCTTGATGGAAAACCCCGGAATCTCACAACACTATTCAAAGGGGCGAACAAACTGTCAGTTCATTCCTATCATTCAAGGACCTCTCGAAGCACAGCAACAACTACGCCCATGCAACGAGCTCAGATTGTGGGGCTGTTCGCAGCTAATCGTAATGAGATCGATTCTACGATTCATAGTCCAGACTGTGCGTTGGGGGCTTTCAACCCATCGCGACGCAGCTCTCGTCGATGCTGTGATCGGACTCGTATCGAGCAATGGGCATCCGGGAGGCGATGACGTGGAGGCACACTTCCACGTCAGATACGCACATCATACGTCCATGTCAGATCCCAAGGAAGTCCACGTAAGCCCTGTTGGACTGATGGTAATGCTGAATGACAGCATGGTCATTAACTATATAATTAAGTATATATATTAATAGTTTTTATATGAACAATATATAATTAACTATATAATTTCTACATATGAACTATTTAATTAACAATATATATATAGTTTTTTTTCTTCAAATGTTGATTGAATATATTTAGAAATATTTTTAAAAATGTTGCATTTTAATTAGTTTCAGTCACTATTAAGAAATTGTGTGGTTTTGAAGCTTTATATATATATTTTTTCGTTTTTGTGCTTGGCATTAAAGGTTTATAGTTGTTGGGGTTTGTATTGACTTGGTCTTTGTTAAAGTGGGATTGATAAAATTTTGTGGAAAGCATTGTACCATAGTATTCATGATCAACAAGGTTGAACAATGGGGAGATTCTAAAAGAAAAAAAAAAAAAAAAAAAAAACAGAGGCCAGAATGGCATTTGCATCTCAACTGAAGATCAAATAAAGATTTACAGGATTTAAATTATATATAAAGGTATAAATATTTAAAAAACTTGGTAAACGAAAAGAAAGAAATGTTGAAAAAGTTGAAAGAAGTACAATGATCAGTTGCTTGAATGCATCTAGAAGCTTTCGAAAAATGTAACAATAAAAAGGATTGCAAATCCAAGATGTATCAGGTCATAAGCATAGTTTTGTATTTTCCCTTGCTGAGCTTTAGGGAGGTCTTCTATATAATTTTTTTAAATCACCATTTTTTTTTTGCTATTTTAATCTCTTACAATAATTGTTAGACTCAAATTTCTTATTTTCTTATTTTTTGACCTTCTTCTTTGCCATTCTAATATTTTATTTATTTTTATAATATAAATAAATAAATAAATACATATATATATATATCATTTTTTAAAATATTAGTAATTATTTTATTATTAATTATTTTATTAGTAATTGACTTTGGATTAAATTCATCTAAAATTTGGTATTTATAATTGTAAAATTTCAAATTTTGGTTTTTATTTACTTTTAATTTTTTGAGACAAAAACATATCAATCTTTTAAATTGGAATAGTAAAGAGATTATAGTTTTATATTTTCACCAAAGCTTCAAACTATTCTATTGTCTATTAGTTTGCATGCACATGTACTATAAGTTTATGTTTAGGGACTCTAGTATTCTGTATAATTTATATGTTGGTTCTTATACCTATTATGCTCTTAGCCATCCAAGATTTATTTTATCTTCTCAAAAAATTTGCATGATTTTCTTGTTGCTTTTCTATGTTGTAACTTGTCAAAATTATTATTATATTTGATCAAATAATTCAAAATTTATTTGTGTGGATATTGGTCCACTACTTAACTTCTAAAATAAATGTGTTGTATTGAGTCTATACATGTCTATAAGCACATCCTTTTTAATAGAGACCAAGTTGTATTAAATCAATTAAAATAGAGTGTAATTCTACATGCATAGAACCTTTGTTTCCATAAGAATGCATTCCATGGTCCCCAACGACTTGGACTAGAGTTGCAAATATAGATTAAGGATGTTATTCAATTCCAAATGTTGTAAGCTTGAATACATTTCCAAGATTTGTATAAAATTTTCTTTGTTATATTAAAAATGTGTAGTAGTATTGGTCTAAGAAGTTAGAGCTAGCTTGCACTTTCTACCCATTAACAACTATGCCAAATTAAGCATATAAACATTGCTTATTTTTCTGCATATGATTGATATTATATTAAAAAGTCCCTCTTCTATTAAAATCGCTAATGGTTTTAGAAAGAAAAGTAAAATTACTGATAAGAAGATGAAATAAATAAAAATTCTAAAAAATTATAAAATAAGATAAAAAAAATTAGTTATATATATGTATATATATATATCTTCTACACATATTTTAAAAACATAGGGCATCACTAGTTTTATGTAAGCCATGCGTATAGAATCCTATTGCATTCTCAAAAATAATAGTTTAATTTATAAGAAAAATTGCAAATCCTACTATATAAATTAATCTTCTCTAAGTTTAAATTATTTATATAATTTGATTATATTTTTAGAGATGCTTCGACTTAAGCTTTAGAATATATATTTTTAAATTGAAAAAGAGATTTTTTAGATTATATAACTATGATTATCAATATCATTATTTTTACTATCATATTATCTAATATAGATTAAAAAACTAAAAGAACATTGATAAGAATAGAAAATTTACATAGTATTAAAACTTATACATAGTATAAGTTTTTTGTAATATCTTTGTAAATACTTTATAAGATGTTTTTAATAAAATGATAAGTTACTAATTTTCAAAGTTAATGTTATTGTTATTGTTATTTTATTTGTTTTGCTTGTTTTGTTTTATTTGTTTGTTTGTTTGTTTGTTTTTTTTTTTTTTAAAATTTTTTTTTTTTGATGATTTTTTTTTGAATTGAAAGAGTATTTTAAGAAAGAAGTATTTTCTAATAATTTTTCAAAATTATTCAAAAACTTCAATCCTACTTAATATGGACTAGGTATTTTTCTATTGCCACATCATCCATTGCATATATTTATCTTTTAATAAAAGAATCAATTAACATGGAGTTCTCATAAGTAGTTATACTTTATTGTCTATTCTATGTAGTAGATTATTCTACTTTAAATACTTTATAGAGATTTTAGTGATGATTATAGTTATA